TGGGGTGAAGGTACATACAGAACTTTAGGATCTAGGCATCAGAGACACAGAACTCAGACAGAAAGTGCTTGGGTAGCACCGGAGCACGTATTGACCATAACTGTTTATACAGATGGTCGACATGACGGTTCCCATAAGTGAAGTGTTGTTGTTCTCTTCTAAACTTGCAGCTCGAATCCCCGAGCCACCAGGTGACCATTGAGCAGTCTCAGCCGGATCGCAGTAAGAAACCCTTCCACCCTGTCAGGTAGGTGACAGATGTAGAGTCCGTACATGCAGCTGGAGCTTCGACGTCTGTCTGCGTGGACAGTAAAAACTTTATGGACAATAGCTAGAAAGTGGAGCAAATGCCCAAGTTAGAGATCTCTTATGTTATTAAAAGAAGTGTAAAATGTTTTTGGTTCATTATGAAACAATTAATAAATTTGGCATCTCGATAATTTTACACTCTTTTTGAACTCTGAACTTCCAGGGTGAACCTTCCCGGAGGAAAGATCTCAAAGGTCACGCTCGGCCGGCTGCACTTCGCCGAGACGACGTCCAATAACATGAGGAAGAAAGGAAAACCTAACCCTGACCAGAGGTGAGCGAGATTCTCAGTGAATTACCTGCAGGCAGTTAGCAACACGCCACATGCTAACTGTACCTGCTTCTCCAGGTACTTTCAGATGGTGGTCGGCCTGTACGCTGCAGTGGGAGACGACACTTTCCTCCTGACGGCTCTGATGTCCGAGAGAATCATCGTCAGGGTAACAACACTACAACTATAAATCTACAACTATAAATCAAAAGCTCCCTGAGACAAATCTCACAGGATAAGAGTCGTCTTCCTCCTTCAGGCATCTAACCCTGGTCAGTTCGAGATGGACGGGGACGCCCTGTGGCAGCGCGGGGCAGTGCAGGACGCTGTGGTCTGTCAGGGTCGGGTCGGCATCAACACCGACTGCCCTGACGAGGCGCTGGTCGTCTGCGGCAACGCAAAGGTGATGGGCACCATCATGCAGCCGTCAGACTTGCGCGTCAAACAGAACATTCAGGAGGTACGACGATCTTAAGTATTTGTATACTTGAACAAAGTGGAAGCGATTTGAAGGTTTAATATTGGACCAATATTAAAACTTTACTTTATTTATTATATTTGTCTGAAATGTACATTTCACGTCAAAGTTTTTCTTATCTTTAAATTCTTTTTGTCATTTTGCTGATTCTGTACGAACGTGTGTCAGGTGGACTCTGAGCAGCAGCTGAGGAGAATCACTCAGATGAGAATCGTTGAGTTTGATTATAAACCAGAGTTTGCGTCGACGATGGGGATGGACCACATCCACCAGACCGGTAACATGCTTATTACAATAATGAATCATGTGTTAGTACACCAGGTGAGAGGTGAGGGTATTACACGAGTACTGACAGTACTCGTTATTCAGGTTATAATACAAACAACATCAATAGTATTGATGATCCAGGTGTAATTGTTATTCAGGTATAATAGCTCAGGAGGTGAAGCAGCTGCTGCCGACAGCAGTGAAGGAAGTCGGAGACGTCACCTGCACTGATGGAGAGAGGATTCACAATTTCCTCATGGTGGACAAGGTACTTCCCTTCCTTCCTTCCTTGCTTCCTTCCTTGCTTCCTTCCTTGCTTCCTTCCTTGCTTCCTTCTTTGCTCACTTGCCTCTTCCTCCTTCAGGAGCAGATCTTCATGGAGAATGTCGGGGCGGTGCAGCAGCTCTCCAAACTCACCGACAACCTGGAGACTCGAATCAATGACCTGGAGGTCTGGAACCGTCGACTGGCGAAACTGAAGAGCCTGACGGGCAGCCTGCGCTCCACAGGGTAACTTCCTTCATTCATATCGTCAACGAGCCATTCATTTATCAATTTATTCACTATCCATCTTTATAAAACCATAAAACCATTTACAGCAGCGAACAAACAGAAGCACAGTAAACTCACAGTTGGATTTACCTCAGTTGGTCGTTCTCCACAGTTCAGGGTCGAGCAGATGCTTCTGACGTCGTCCTTTAATTGTGTTTAACTCGTCTTATTTGAGCCAAAGTTAGAAATATTTAACCTGAAGGTCTCAGGAACATTTCAGGTCTTTTTATTAAACAAATGTTTATTGTACAATAAACTTCTGCAGAAGAAAAGAGCGGCAGCAGCATCGCAAACCAACAGGAAATAAGTTTTCTATAGATGTAATGTACTTTAGTGTTTTATCAAAAATGAATAACTGATATAAACAATCAATTATTTAGAAGAAACGATTCACTTAATTAATTACATCGATCACCTGAATGTCTCGTTTAAAAACTCCAGAGTGAATCTTAGAACTGAGAAGACGACTGGTTAAAGAAAAGATAGAAGAATTAAAACCATGGAAAAGTACTGTGAAGAGTGTGTGTGTGTGTGTGTGTGTGTGTGTGTGTGTGTGTGTTGCACAACACTCTGTTATCAGTGCATTAACAGAAATCATAGTTCAAGGACGTCCGGCGTTATGAAGGCTACTGTGTGAAGCAGATCGTCCAGAATGAGCTGTCACTTTAAAAAAGACGATAAAGTCGTAAAAGAGTCAAAACAACAGAAAACTGCTGAGCTGTTGTTGGACTGTTGAAAGGAATTATGGGAAATGTAGGCGACCACTGAATAAAGATAAGGTTAAAAACTCTCGATGAGTTAAAGTTTTCACTGAGGAGCTGAACTCATACCGGGGCTTTGTCTAACGTGTCAAAATAAAAGCTCCTGTTCTCGTGTGGGTTCTCCGACAGGAAACTCAGCATCGTGTCGTCGACCTCGGGGGCGGACACGAGTAAGAGCGCGAAGGTTGAGAAGGAGCGTGGCAGTCAGAAGAACGTCCACTGTGTGAAGCACAAGGTGTTCCGGGCCGGCGTCTTCAGCCTCATCGCCACCGTGGTCATCTGGTGAGTCGCCTGCTGCCTCTACTGAAGATCTGTTCAGTGAAGACACGACCTTTACATCTGATCTGTGTGCGTGTGTGTGTGCGTGTGTGCGTGTGTGTGTGTGTGTTGCAGCGCCATCGTCATCATCGCTCTGTATCTGCTGAACCTGATGAAGAAAGACTTTGACGCGTATCCTGGCAACAGGTAAACAACCGAACTCACTCACTGTGACAGGAAACGTTGAGGAACGTCTCTTTTTAAGAAACAACACAAACGATCGCCCGATAGCAGCTGAACAAGCAGAGCGTTCCTCAGGAGGTGGAGACCAAACCTCAGGAGGTGGAGACCAAACCTCAGG